CGATATGCTGTTTCCGTACGGAAGAAAACAAAAAATGAATAATTATTATTATTAAAGCAAGAGATGATGTAATATAAAATAACATCGCATAATTGTACTGTTCCAGGTTGTTAGAATTTGTTTCACGAGAAGACGGAAATGCTAGGAGAATTATTACGCCGTCGAGCGATCATTGTCCGATGCATTTTTAATAATAAAAATGTTTCTTGCGAGTTTCTGCTTTCTGCTACGTGCAACGAGCTTTGCCATGTGTTATGGCAATGGCGACGAGCCAGAACGAGAGTGTAATATGAGAATTGACTTGGAATATCGCGCGCACGTCGACAACGTTGGATTTTTTTTCATTTTCCTCTTGTAGTTTTGCATTTCATTTCAATCTTGAAATAACTTTTTATATATTCATTGAAATTATCTTTAAAGCATCTAATTGCAATGTCGGACTAATTAAAAGTTAGGAAAAAAAATTATAATGAACATTTTGCTAAAATTATGTGCCTTCCGGCAGTCTTGGCGTAAAACACAAAATTAACGAGTTTTCATTGTGATATTTTGTGGTCATTTGTTGGCATTTTCATTGTTGCTTGCCTCTGTTGTCACATTTAACCAAATATGAAACTGACAGGCTTTAAACCTACGTGGGTCAAGGTTATGTTGATGTATGATACAAAGAACATGTTCAAAAAGAAAGATTAAAAGATGGAGGCTATGTGAAATGTTATTTTTTTATTTATGAGGTTGACATTTATGTAGAGAGGTTGATAAAATTGATTGATATATTATTTTTATAATTTAAGAAAAGCAAACAACATTATTCTTGGGGTTTATAAAATTATTTTCGGCAATATACATTATATAAACCGCAATCTTGATATGCTCATCATCGTTAACAACATCATCTGCACAACTTTGCATTACCAGCGTAAAATACTCAGGTGGATGGTGGTTTGTGGGTGGTTGCTTGAGAGATCATCACTGCCGCCTCCATCGCTACGAGACGCTCCTGAGAGATATGTCAGCAAACTCGATCGGGTTTTGTGTTTATAACGGAAATGATTAATCACTCTCCGCAAATCTTTGCTCGCTACAAACCAAACACCGCCTCACTGCTTACTTGCAATGATTGAGTAGAAAACTTATAAATATTTAATGGTGATTTCGGCATTCTTAAATATTTTAAAGCAATTTAAAACTTTGTCAACTGTTGATTATGCTCAGTTAAGTTTTACCAGCTTAGTTAGTTAGGTGTCTAACACTGCTTGTGAATCAATAAGCGTATGATTGGTCTGGTGTTTGATATAATCTGCTTATTACTTCCCCTTCTTCGGCTAGTCACCTGAGTGCGTACGTCTTTCCACCCCCCTTTCACTTACCCCACGAAATTTTCCCGCGTCTACACGTCAATCCGGTGCGGCCGTGAAACATCAATTTTCGGCGACGACAGCGTGTCGTTTTGGCGAAGAGGGTAAATGTTCCTCTCTGCTGATGCTGGCGAAAGCTGCCTGAGCCCGCACGTACGACTTAATTAATTTCTAATGCGCCTATTGGAGACGAAATCTCATTAATAATGTGAAAACTAGTTTTTCATCGAACGACGACATAAACGCGCAGACGATATCTGTCCGTGGAGATACATTTTGCATATTTATTACCCGGTTTATGCGCGCAATTCATTCTTAATGGGAGTTTATTTATTTATTGCACCTGAAAGCGTGTTACATTATTCAACCGAGTGCAAAATAACAACAATGTAACCTAATTCTGTGTGCTTATTAACTTGGAATTAAATCGCAGCTGTTTACCTCCCCTTTTAATTTACTTTAGTAATCTTTAAGAAATGTAGTAAAAATTTTAATCTTGGCTTGGAAAGCAAGTTTTTTGGTGTTGTTTTTTTGTTGAAACCTTCTGGAGCAGACTTCTGTTTTTATTTTAACATTTTTATGGTTGTGGGATTCGGTATCCAAGTATAACGTTTTCTTTAATTTTTTTTTTAATTTTGAAAAATAATGGTCAAACAATAATAATTTATTTTATGATAAAAACTAGATTTGCTATCAATTTTTGAGGTTACATTCAAATTTTAAATTAAAATACCGCAAATTTGTTTTCAAATATGTAAAAGCAATATGATTTTTGAAATGCTTGCGGTTCCTCGTATTATAATAAATAATAAATAAATAATTGCTTTTTATTTATTGAGGTTAAATTGTATTTTCCAGTGAAAAAAAAACGGAATTAAAACATTTATATTAAATTCTATTAATTTAATTAACATGTTTACTTAATTTATCATATTTCTATTTTAAACATCAAAAGGTTTTTTTACCTTTGTTATCATTTTATTTATTAAACATTCCATTAAATCCGGCTGCTGAGTTCTATATTAAAAAATACCCTTTTTTCTACACAATGCAATTCTAAAGATATGACTCTGGTTTTATTGAATATTTCAAAGCAAATTTAGCATATTTATTATTTACTTAGAAAATGAGGTTTATTAAAGGTATGTGTGCGTCTATTCATTTCTTGGCGAGTATACGCTGAGAGCGAAAATAAAGGCGCACATAAAGATGAAATTGGAGTGTATTATTCCAAGATGCAAAACGGGAAAATTTCACCCGCCTTTCGCTGGGGTGTGTTCTGCTTGAGCGGCGTTTACATTAACAACCATGAAGGCACACAGATAGGTACATATATATTAAAATTGCAAATGTTACGTTTTAAGTACGTCATACATTTGGTCTGTCGCGCAAACGCACATCGCACATGGCATATTATTATGCCGGTGTTATAACGAATGCAAATTTACTGTAGATTTTAGAGTACTCGTAGTGCTTATTTTATACGTAAATATCTTTGAGAATTATTAATAACAAGAAATATCAAGTTTTTTAGTGTGGCATCACATTTTTCTGTCATTTATTTATTTTTGACTTAATTAAACATTTTATTGTATTTATTCAATTACTATGTAAATTGTTTTTATTCTCTATGCTTTGAAACTAAAACATCATTATCACGAGTTAATTATCAGGTTGTTAATTACAGCCACAACAATGCAGTTCAATTACAAATGGTGCAGTTTTGCGCAAATGAACACTGAATATCACATCATTTTATTTCAATTTATTTGAGCGCACATATTAAATATTATGCATTTTATATTACGTAAATATCAATTTTAATTTGCATAGTTCATCGCCCTTTGAGTTGAGTAAATTGCATATTTGATAGTCGAAACAATATCCGCTAATTCTCTGGACGCGGAAACGCGACGAACGGTGCAGAAAATAGTGTCGAACAAAAAGTGCTGTCGTAATTGACATTTAATGGACTAAAAATCAATTTTGTCTAATGCACTAACTACGAAACAAAATATAAAAAAAATATTTTATATAAATTTATATTTTGTACTAAAAATATTAAATCGTTTATTATTTTAATGGAATTAGTTTAGATTGAAACTTTCCAGACATACCTATTTATTTTATTAAAATATACATAATGTATGATTCATATTATCTCCACATTTACTACTCAGCGTAATGCAAAACAAGACAAATTGCATTTTAATTCTCGTTTCACCTTCATTACACTAGTATTACGCACACGCCCTCACGCTGCGCTCTCGTGCAATTGCATACTGCATACTGGTTATTATTTCACGTACATTTTCAAAACTATGCGCGTTTGTCGTGCTTTTATTGCTATTATTTCCTCATTTTCCGACTATTAAGAAACATACGCCGCGCGTAACGATGCGCCGCATGCTATGAATGATAAAGAGGTCTTAAAGTGGAGCAGAAGCACTACTATAACCTTTTTTAAACCTTAAAGTAGAAAGAAATTTTCCTGAACCATTAGAAATTAGTTTAGAAAAATAAATTGAATATGCAGACAGCTTACATAAAATGTATGGCACCAAAAAATATAAAATACAAAACGCATTTATTTTAACATAACTAAAACCGGCTTTTCATATGTTTTAATAATTTTCTAGGCTATATTAAGCACGGCGTTTATTAACTTTTCATTTTAACAGTGCAGCCGTTCTATTTTGCAATGGGTTATGATAATCTCTATATAGTATTTGAATATATAAATACAAAGCAAGACTTTCGTGGTTTAATATTTTCCAGAAGGTGAGCTTTACTCGTACATTACATGATATTAAATATACACCCAACTCCAAACCAAAAATAAATATATGCTCGCAATAATTCAGCTATTAACAAGCAGCTAATTTCGAATTTTGCAAAATATATTTGTGTATCTTGAACTTGGATTAAGCATTTATGTAGTGTACAGTAATGTAGTTATTGTGGACTGTTTGTCACGTTCTGTGAAAAGGCGAGGTTTCGTGATTCGAATTGTGCCCGCCGGTGAGACCGTCGGCGAACGATTGAGAAATATCGTGCGGCCATGCTTATGTTCGCTATATCGCAAAACCCTACCAACCTATATACCTAGCATTTACCCTCGAAAGCTTTGCGTTTGCTTGCGTTGTCGATACTCGCATACATTCATTGGCTTTTCGGCTACAGGCAAGCCACACTGTTCTTTGCATACAACGAACGCACCGGTTGGAAATGAGAAAATCTATAGCTGAAAACAAGGTCACGAGACGTTTAGACATTAATCCCATTAAACTTGTTCGAAGAAATATCGCAGCAAATACTAAGTCAGGAAGGCAATAACTTTATTTGTCATTAACATAATAGGAACATTTATTGTTGACACAAAAAGCTCAAGTATTCAGGTCGCTGTTGTTATGGTTGAATTTATATTTTGATGTTGTTACAGATGTTGCCAAGAATGCGCTAGAACGGAGGGCGAGCCGTGTGGCGGCGAGCAAGGATTCAGTGGGACCTGTGAACCAGGATTGTCCTGTCAGCAGCCGGGGCCTACGCCCTCTGAGGGCATCTGCAGGCCTATCAACCTCGACGACTTTCCCGACGACACGTGAAACTTACCGATCGCACTCGCTGCCATCGTTGCACGGTCGCCACGCTTTTGAACCAAGCCAAATAATGAGCGTGCGCGGCCAAAGAACCTCGACAAGTAAGTAAAGCAGGCTTAAGATTAACATAAACATAATCCATCATTGTGTACCGTCATACCGCCAAGTCATCTGCTGTCAATTTCAGGTTGTATGTACAAAATTTACGCTGTTTTTACATGCGCGCATATTTATATTCAAAATTCTAACTTGAAAAGTTTTTTGGAACACTTTTGATACATCAATCATATTTTCCGCTTCAGTTTTGTGTAGCTGCGTAGTGTACTTTTAGATATATTTGCTCTCGGCTTGCCTAAACACATACAAATTGCTTTGAATATTGTACTTTGGGTATTTGCAAACAATATGCGAACACATTGCCGAAATCGTAAAATATTCACAGTCGAGTTTCACTTAAATAAATTTGAATTTGTCGGCTGATACGTCCATTGGGTGGGTTACATGCGTGCTAGGCGAAGACCGAGGAAAAATGGGAATATCAGCGAATTGAATTTGTATCGACAAACATTCATCGTGTTTTTTTCCTGCATGCGACGCGTGTGTTTTGTAAATTTTTCGATTGAATTGAGGGAGGCTGCATTTTGATACGCAATGTGTAGATTGAGGATTACATTATAACAACGTGGATGCTTTTCAAATGCAATTATCTATCCTGTATTCAATTTGATTGAATTTGTATATGTGCTGAGAAATTTTGGTTTCTCAATTTTACATCGTGAATGTATTAAAGATATTCCACATAGCACACATGTTACATATAACTTTTTAACTTTTTATTTAAATAATACTACGGTGGTCTTCAACTTCTTCTTCAAAATTTACTTATATAACTTTCAAATATTAATTTATCACCTGCGACTATGAATATCTACGTTATTTTAAAATTGCACAATCTAAAGTTGAACAAAAAGTAATTTTTTATTTACTTGGAAACCGATATTCAATTAACATTGAAAGCATTCAGCTACCGTCACTAAACTGCTAATAATTGATGAAATTCAGATATCTAGACGTGGTTGTGGTGAAAACTTCAGAGTTCTCGTCGTTCTCACACTCACTGCAATATTTAGCTTTCATTTTCGAAAAGCTCTACATTCAAATTCCACCGATGTTCACCTAAAAAGCCCTTTCAGCGATATTCTAACTGAAATTGTATTCATATTTGATTAAATCGAATTGAATTGATCATTGCAATAAAATGGAATATTATTTAATGAATATTGTGAATATATTCTGTCAATAACCCTTTAAAATTAAGCGTAAAAGCTCTGCTTTTAGTTTCAAATTGATCATTATACCAAGCATTATGAAAGTTGGTATTACAAAGTCGGCAGTGCGTTGATTTACCGAAGATATCTTGATTGTAATTTGTACGAGCTTGTGCATGGTTAGTTCATGACATCGGGTGCAGGTGCATGAGCAAGTGGCAATAATTAATCCATTGTTCTGCCAGTAAACTGCCAAGTTATTCCATATACATGCAACTCAACTTACCATTTACTCATAGATACTAAGTGCTACCTATTACATGCATAAACGTAACATTAATAGCGATATTATTCAAAGAACTCCTTATTTCACTTTGTATACTTGTCTTTGTTTGAAACTTGTCTTCACAAGTGCCCTCTTAAGGCCACACCCTTGCTTTATTTACGATCTGATTAAATAGTAAACATTTAGAAGATACATTAGAAGTGTCTGCGAGATAGTTTCGCAGCGGGCACTCTACGCGTTGGGTCAGGTTATTAACAACTCTATTAGTATCAGATAATATTAGTTAATGGCTGTTTAGGCTTGTATCTACTGCCAACAGATAGAATATATAAATGCACCTCGGTAGTGCCTTGTCTCGCCGTGCTTCGTCGTGCCTACACACACCATGCATTAGATATACTTGCGTTACGACAAACTGCCGCTAGCTAGTCTAATGGCATAATTCTAATGGTTTCGTTGCTGCGAGGGTTCAAGTTGCAAAGGTAGCTCACACTATCACAATCTCACACTCTGGGAAATATAGTATAGGCGCTACGTGCTTGATGCAAGCGGCAGTTTATGCAAATTTCATTCGATACTAATCAACTGTTAATTTATTTGCATATTGATTTTCGGCTATGTTGCGATGGTAATAACCCACGTAGATTATGGGGGTAATCATATATAAATATATTTATATTTAATTTAAATTGTACATAAATTAAATCGTTGATACATTATTGCTAAATGAAACAAAAAATGCTATAAGAAGTTAATAACGTTAACTTTTTTCCAAGTAGAATAAAAATACCACAATAATAATAAATAATAATAGATTCGTTTAATGAGATTTTTAACACGCACGAAACTAATTTGCTCATTTTTTCTGTATTCTGGCGTTTGTATTAAGCTGCACATTGTTGCTCTGATTTTTTTTATTATTAATCGTTCTAGTGGTAAATATGCTTTTAGTCGGTTACAACTCGAATCTAGGGGAGTTATTTGCCTCGTTTCATGACGAATTTGAAACGAATAACTTATACGAATATATAATTTGTAACATTTATATTAACATAATTATTATTTTGATAATCACATAGCTTAAAATTTATTGGCTTTTGTAACAACTAAATTTCGAGTAGTTTCAAATATATTATTATTTTAAACCTGATTAATTGTTAGGAAGAATTATTTTTAAAGATTAAAATTGTTTAATCAATATTTTTGTTTGTTTCAGAATGGGTTCCACAACTTGTATCTATAAATGCTGTAATATATGAACGCTTTTATGCTTTAATCAAAGTAAGTACTATTTTATAATTATTTACGTAGTTAACACAATCAATTAATATATTTTCGAAACATAAAAACAGATAATGCTATGAGTTGTCGTACATAGGGCAAACATACGATATTCATAAAAACTGCAACATTTACGTTGTTTAATGTTGTCATAGTAAACAAACTCATAACACATCATTAATATCTGTTTTCCTACTTACTTAACTACTGATAGTACTGATAACATCGATTAATTGAAGAGAGTTAAAAGCTCATCATCATTTTATGCTCCAACTCAGTTACTTCACTATTAAAACTATTTGGTTGCGTAAAAGATAAGTAGTTTGTTCAACGAGCGTAAACCCTTTTGATCTGTAAACAACCCTTAGTAAATACGAGTAACATAACTTATTAAATAAATATAATACCTACTCGTATCCGAAAACATACGCCAACAATTCTCATTTGGAATCTGAAACATGTCGGCCCTGTCGAGTTCAGCGCGCAATTGTTATAATATGCTTGTGTCTGCATTGTGTATATCATAAAGTAGGATGCGCGTGAATGGCATGTGTGTGCGGCGTCCCGCTCATAATAAAGTCGCGAGCTGAGAGTGCTCGCCCTGCAGCGATCACTTTGTACCGAAACCGGTAAAATTATACAGTGAAACATTATGCGAATAGGAGGAATACAAGGCTTTCTTTAAACTAATGCGTGGGTGCTTCCTACAATAACAAGAGCAGTTAATTAGGTACTTAATCAATATAACGGTAAATTTGTACCAAAATTAAAATTTTGCAATTACGGTTATAATTTATTGTAATTTAGAATAGTTTTGTTACATCCGGTATTATTTTAATGCTTGAAGTAGAAATGTGAAACAAACACTCGAGTGAAACCGATGTAAACGAAGGGGTTCAAAATTTTATAATCATATAACACATCCATCAAGCGACTGCTTTTGTTGTATCTTCATAGGTTGTTGAAATTCGTTTATTACGTTTAGTTGCAATTGAAATTTATAATTTACATTTATATACCATTTAAAATAACGTGAGTTTATATTATGTGGAGGTGCCGGGCTATGTAGATAAAAATGAATATAAGTAGTGAAAAGTGAAGGTTACATTTTATGACTTACAATGCGTCGACAACAATTCTTCTTTTTATAATATTGTCATGCGTTCTTGTATGAAATCGAAGCACACCTAACGGAAGAAGGTTTCATCTCCGGAGTATTGTGTCGCGCATGCAGATGTTGGTGCTGACGTAACCAACCTGGCAACCTGCCGCCTTCAAAAGACGTTGTCGATGGCAGAGAGAGTGGGGTTGGAACAACCCTTCGGCACTGAATTGCGCACAGTGGCGCGTCTTGTGCTTTCCTTTCGTCCTTTCGTCGGGTGCCATCAACCGCGCGCACGCCGTAAGAGATATCTTCTTCTGCTCTGCTTCGGAAAAGCAAGCGAACATGGAATGGGACATCATTATGTCGTTTATTTATGTTTCGGAATGCTGCAGAGAGGCAGCCGGCTAGCCCGCAGCGGATAACACATGGCGGGCATTAAACGATCCTTTGATCGGAACGCCTGAATGAATGAAGGACGCAGAGCAAACGGCAGCGCTAGGCCACACGATCGAGTACATTATCAAAGGAAAGTTAAACAGAGCTGGCCCCAGGACGAAGGAGCCAGGTGTGCATCGCATGACTACGAACAGTATTCCATGATTTTTCGAGCTTTATTCGAATTGTAAAAACACGGAAAATTAGCAATTTATATAAAATCACCGAGGGAAACGTAATTTATAAATGGATGACTTTATATAAAATTCAGATTGAACTACTCGTATGCAAATGGGCGAGCGTTATATTTCGTTTAACTTGACTACTCGCACGTTATCCTTCGTCGATTTAATTTGACATCATTGCTGCAATTTCAGCGACATGGCGCAACGGATTGGAATGAAGGCACTGCTGGGAAATATGTGAAAATATTGCTATTCTTCGTATGCAGAATACTATTCGATTTAATTCAAACTTATTGTAGTGGAATATCTGCAGTTATATTGAAAGTTTACAATACGGATATATGAAAAATTAAAATTGCTCAAAATGCAAGTATTTTTAATATGAGGTATATAAAAGATATGCAAGACTTTTTAATATTCTGCACGCAATAACGTCTAGAGAGCAAGAGAGCTGCGACTGGACTGCTGGACGCGACTGAGCTCGTGGCGTGCTGTGCGCTGGCCTTTTATACCTGTGGATGACCAGCAAAGAGTGGTGGGGGAAGAATGTAGCCTACTTTAGTAGTACCAGCAGCTTGTATGTTTGCTCGTGACTCACCTTCCCCCTCTACTATTTGCCGGTCGTCCGCAGGTAAAAAAGGGCTTGGTCGTCCAGCAGTCCAGAAGCAGGGCTCTAGACTCCTCTTCTGCCTCATTGCGTGTCCTGATTAACTCTTGTTTTACCGCCTATATTTAAATAAATGAAGTAATATAAACGTAGTGAAATACAGCAAGACGTTCATCAACTTCAATTACGCGCGTGTAATAAAGTTTTTGCGTTAGCATTATTAACCAATAATCGTTTATTTAATTACTTAATGTTTTCCGCCCGGGCTCAGCTCTGAGGAGCGCGCGTTGAGAGTTTTGGATGAAATTTTCTGCGTGAGTGCATGCAACATTTACGCTTGTACGGGGGTGGTGATGCTGTGAGTTTATGATCTGAGTATACAAACAGTTTAAAACTCGGTGTTTATCAAAGTTAAAATTATAACTCACTAGCTATAAGTAAATAAGATTCACTAACATCTTAAACAACGGCATGAAAATATTAATTAATTATTGATCCGATAATTAGTTTAGTTTGTTATGATAGAAAATTAGTTACTTAGAACTGTTGGTATGTGACAAAGGAACGTTGACTGCCGCGAAGGTAGCGGCACTTTCGGCTCGATTGCAAATTAGGTTTTCCCTCTCGGATGGATATACGAGGACCAGGACCAGGACGGTACGCCGTACGTCGCGCGTTAAGAGCGCGGGAAAGCGGCCGACTAGCTCGAATCGATATTTAATGATAGGGATATTAAGCCTCCACCAGAGTACCAAAGGCTGCGTCGCGACGCGCACGTCGAGTGTGGGGCAGTGAGTTTTAGTTGAGTAGGGCAAGGTAATCATCAACGGTTTGCACGTCTAGGGGGAAAAGCAACGCTGGTTTTGGTCTGGAAAGTTTTTTCGTTTCGTTTTTGCTATTTTTATTTGCCTCGGCATATCAGCGCACGCTTTCTCGGCAGTAACGCGGGCGAACTAAATCTCGTAAAAACACATTTACTGAGTCATCAGAAATGCTAGATTAAAGATTTTTCATGTGCGAAGCGTGTTCCAACGCTCAAAATGGGAACGTAAAAATGTACTCTGCAGTTAATCGAGTTATTGCTATTTTTGGAATGTTTTCAAAATTGGACAAATTTCGTTTTTGCAATAAACGCGTTTTATAAATTTAAATACATTGAGTACCATTATGATTACAAAGTATAACTCATACTTATATTTTCTGAGCACAAGATGTGTCTAAGACGCAACAAAACCTTTTTTCTTACCTAAAAATATAACAAAAACGAAATATTATTATGGTAACGCAGTAACGAAAAATAAATTAAGAGCTCGACGCCGTTGTCGTAGGGAACGTTCGTTCATCAATTCGTTTTTCTTCGCGTCGTTGCTTCTTTGCGCTTCTTTTTCACGGCGAACGTGAAGCGCGAAGGACATAAAAGCGTCGCTGTCTGGAAAGCCCTTTCGCCATTCTTCTTCATCGCGCGCTGCGGCGCCAACATTAGGACACTTGGAGATACACCGGGAGAGCAATAATAGAAGAAAAAATATCTAATCAAAGTAACTCGCCGCGTCCATGCACTAGAGACGCGCTCGCAGTGAGTTAGCGCAAGAAACGCTCGCGTGAAAATGAAAAGAAAGACGTGAAGGTGACGCGCGACGATGAGAAGCCACGAGGCGATGCTTCACGCTTCGTGCTCGAAATGTTTATTGTGTTTTATTTATTTTTTTCGTCTGCGAATGTTGGTTTTTCGTTTCGTTTCATTTTTGTTTTTGTCAGCGACACAATTCATTCATTTGAAGCTACATCATCGACCTTATCGTCGTTTACTCGCTTATCATTTTTCCATTCAATTAGTACAAAGCACCTGACTTGCGTTTGAAATATAAATTTTCCAATTCACTTCGTCTTTGTCGCTTTGTACCGTCACATGCACACTCCACAAAGGATGCGTCAATTTCCACACAAGTTGAGGTATCACTTTACTCTCGCAAGAAGACCTCGCAATCTTGTTAGGTCTAATTGTTTATTGCATTTCCTTTAGCCGGAGAGTTGATATCGCGGTCGTGCATGGAACGTGCTCATCTAAAGCGGCAACTTTGTGTCGCAGAAGGGATTTTCCTCGCACGCTTTAAACTACTACGAGGAGCACCACATTCGGTTTGATGCAGCTTCGTGAGCACGAAGAGAGGAGTTGGATCTCGCGGTATGGAGTGTGCTCGACAATTCTGGTCTGTCGTCGGTGTGCATCGCGTTTAATGTGTAGTCCATATATTTTATATGGTCTACGCGCACTAGGCGGCTATATTTGCATACCTTTGACACCCTCGAGTGAATATGTTTATAACTTTGTTGTCAGCGACTTTACGCGAGTTTAACATGTCCCGTTGTCTATTTGGCTTTCAAATATGCATAGTGTTCAAAGCACGCCCAAATTATTTGCGAAACTTCTATTTCAAGTTATTAAAATTAATTTATATGAAAATATCTTTAGTTTATAAAGAATATTTTGGCATGTCCTGTATTCTGGAATTTTGAGTAAAACCGTAAACGCGTCACATTACGTACTCACACGGCCGGTGCGGCTGCGGTGTGGCAATGGTCTTGGTACTTTTGAATCGCACCCTGGCGTACACGCCGTCGTCCACAAATCCCATCAAGGCTAACCCGAGGTGTGTATCCCCTCGTCTGGTCGGCGGGGATATTCATGTATACACAAGCAATAAACACGCCGGTTAACAATGTATGCGCAGTACACGTAAAACCCACGCCTTGTTATTTCCACCCGACGATGACGAATGTATGCTTGTAATCGTTGTGCTTTGTGTAAATTAAAGGACAAGCCGTGGAGAAGATGTGGGAGTATCGGGATTAGAAGATTTGAATCGTAGTACAAAGCTTTGGTGGGATAGAATAAATTTGTGAAAATTGTTTGTTTTATCTCTAGTAAACATTACACACTAATATTGTTCTTTTTTAGTGGTTGTTATTATTATTGCAAACATTTGCAATTTTAATAATTATAAATATTAATTAAAAATAATGAATATCGACATGGTAATATGAGGATTTGCTTCATTTCATATTTCAACGTCATAATAAATAATTTTCACGTGAATAACCGAAAATTTGTGCGCTACTTCCGCGGTTCTACCCTAGCGTATTCAGAATTTAGTAAATCCAGCGTACGTGTGTCCTCGATGCGCACTGGCAACATTTTCACGACCTTGTATTTTTATTTCGCCTGCAAAATATTCCAAACACACCTTCGGTCAAATTATGGGCGAAAGCAAGATATATACGTCCGATCCTTACTGTCTGGGTCGTGCTACACGTTTATGCTTTTACTCGTAGCTAAAACCAACCGGTGGTTATCTACGAAGGGTTTGACCTCCTGAACCCCTGCATCCTCTTCCTGCTGGAAACGTCTGCATTAATATTACTTTTGAATAATTGCTTTTATTATTCATTTTTTCTTTTAAAGTTTAAATACTGCAGAAAGCCTATTGAATGCTTGGAATCGTGCAAATTGCTTGCTTTTTACGCGTCATCTATATTCATGTGGTTGTTGCTTCCGGGAAACAGGAAATTCAAACCAAATTAAAAACAACAACAGAGTTGGAAGTAAAATCATCGCATGTTTATACTTATTTCATTTTGGGTCAGAATTTTTATTTAATCTGCGCGTTGTTTGTGCAATGTGTGAAAACAAACAACAGCGAATTTAGGCAGCCAACACATCGGCTCGGATTACATTCGCATTCACCGTTGTCATAAATCACTTTAGAGCTTCTTGTTTTCGATAACGCGATGAGAAGTGCGACCGCACTACTGGGTTTGATATATTAGTTGCTAGCGCATGGGCGACTTGAAATAGGATCAAAATTTCATCTACCGACATCCGATGTGTACTCTTCCGCTCACCAAACGGCGTTTGAGATCCGCAAACAATACTGGTGTGTGCAGAATGTATATGCATAGCATATAAGGGAAGTTTTCGGACATCTCATTACGTTTTACGTTCATATCCTGTCAGCTCAAAATAAACGTCGGTAGCGGGCGCAACCGCGTGTCCGCCGCAAACATTTATAGCATCGGATTTGGCTCTCGTGGATATTACGAAATATTCCCATCTGGGCGGAGAATACCCAGGACGTAGGTGGATGCAATTCGTCCCTTCTCACATCTCTTCTCACATCAGCATCAACCTGGCTTCTATATTGAACCTATTCAGACCGGCGTAGTGTTCAACAGCTCGGCACCTCAATTCACTTTTATCGTGTTATTACCCTATGCTGAATTGGTCTGCTGGATACCCATAGACCGGGAGATAGTAAAACTAGATAATTGGATACTCTCGATGTTCATCACTTTCTTTTTAAATCGAAATATTTTTCTACACTCGGTATTGATACAAAGAAAAGGTCTAGCCAAATGATATTGCAAATCATTCTTTTTTTGTGCCTTTCATTGTACGCATGTTTCCTTTCAATGGCAAGTTTTTGCAAGAGATGAAAACAGAAAAGCTTTTATACATTAGGCAATTTTACAGCGTCTACCTGAGGACCGCAAAAATGGATGAAATGAAAACATATTCGTTAATTAAAAAGTAATACGCAATGGCGAATCCCTTGGGGTGACTCTCGGAATGGCACTCTTTTTTCGGCAATGAACAAAGTTCACGCATTTTGTGCCTTAATTTTCTTCCAGGTCCTAAATCTCTGCTATGAGCGCAATTAAACCAATAGGTTTAATTGTTTTAATTTATGGCCAAATTAGAATTGCCGCATAGGAAACACGCAGGATAATTTATATCTATAAAATGAAAGTGACAAGAAAAAAACTAAAAAAATGACTCAATTAAGCAATGTTCTAGGACAAAAAAATCTGCCTCTGTGCTTTTGAATTTTTATAATGTGTGTTATGCAAGTTTTAAGTTTCTTACTATGTAATTTATCTTTAGAGATTCTGAAGGAATGTACCAAACAATGCGAATCATAGAATGACGATTCGTGGCAAAAGATTTTTCCCCGGTTGGGTTGTCATTTTGTACAATCCGCGCTCGTTGCGCTAAACTAAAGCGAACTACTCATACCCTGCTGTTCTGACTTGGTTCACTTTTGCCGTCGTCCTCGCCGCTGCCGCCAAACATACTTGACAGACAGTCTATCAGTCTATTTCCTCGTGCTTCGAGATTCTCACCGTTCGCGCTGCGCATATTATACTCTACGTTATGAGTAAACCATATTTACATTTATTCCAACTAGGACAAGTGCGAGCTTGAGCTTGAGACGACGAGGGTACTAGATGATAGCGCACAAACAGAATGTTTCGCAAATTTGATGCAAACATTTTCAATAACGATCCAATATTAATATTGGTGTTTGATATCGTCGAGCAAACTGCAATATAGAACATTCTACGTGATTCAAACACATGTATACTAACTACACCGTATGTAATTTGTAGCGATGCAATTAAATTGAAAATTAAAACACTACTGTCGTCAATGTTGCCGCTGCTGTTCTTGTTGACGTCGTTGCGTTAGAGTCCTGCCATCGGTAAACAACCGCCGGCGTCTCCACAAACACTCGCTGCGCACACATTTGACGTTCGATGTACTCCGGTACACTTCCAAGCGTAATAAGATGAAAAGTTTTCTTTAGTCGACTGTTTGCGAGCATGGTGGCGGAATGAGGCATGCGGGATGCGCAGGAAGAATAACTTTTCGCCCTACGAGTTCATTTCGGCGTGGCGTCTGTTTGTATATGCATAAACTCCCGCCTCGACGACGAATTATGCAAATATAATTTGATAAATATACACAATGTACATGGTCGCTAGTCGCACTCTGTGGAATGGATTATACAAATCGAAATTATACGAGAAAGCTATAAATAATTCACTAGTTGCACTATAATGTTAATTCCAATTAATGGCTGATGCTTGACTTGATTTGCGCACACGAATTTAATTATTTCTTGATTATTAACCCAAATTTAGCAAATTTTATGTTTTTATGCTTTCAAAATGTACTGTCATTATGAACCATACTAATACCTTTTCCGTCTATTGTTTTAATCATCCCTTTTGTTGTGGTGTCTTTCTTCTTGGCGAGGATAGCATTCAACAATTGCTCCCTGTCCGAAAGTGTTCGAATATTATGAAATATCGTGACGTGGTGCGCTACAAATTGCTATTGTTTGCAGATTTACGTGTGCGTGTATTGTCGTCGTCGTTGTCCACCGTATCGTCGTTTTTGTTCGTCGATGATTAACAATTCCCGAGCTAGAAATACAGCTGAAGCAGAGGCTGTTCAAGTTTGCAACTAATCAAAAGAAGAGGCTCGGCACAAAGGCGACAACAGGTAGGAATTTAAATTCTGTTTTTCGTATTTTTGGCCTAATTAATTGTTACGCAAGCATGAAAGAATTCGTGGATGGTAATTAATTTATATGCTTTAATGGAACGTGTAGAACGCGGGCTATAAAAAATACGATCGATACATGTTTGCTCAGAAGCGGCAATATTTTCTGTTCTTAAATAAGGATTTAAATATTAATTTACTAAAAAGCGTGTTGATAAATGATTTATTCCATTTTTTTATTTTTGTGCATTATGAACAAAAATAGATAGAGTTTTTTTTTGAATGATTAATTTGTAAGTTGGCAACAACTTGAGATTAATTAAGCGTAAACTGGCAACATCTATATTATTTCCCATTGTGCCATTTTTTATTGTTGTTTATGCTATTCACCGTATAAAACGAGCGCTGTTGCAGAGCCAAACTTTCCACCCCAAAACTTTTCTAAATAATAGCTTATAACACTTAAAAAAAGTATAAAAGTAAAAACGCCTTGACAAATTGCCAAACGAAATTTATATGAAAGCTCAATGGCTCGGAAGAAACTGGAAAATAATAATAGCCGCGCGAAGGAAGCAGCGACGACGACTGAGGTCAATTTACCCCACGCTGTTATAACCCGAATTAAAATGCTCAATTCCTGGGCTCTGAGCGCGCCCAAAAAGAAATTTCGTTACATTGGAGCGAATTATCTCGAAGGTCGCCTGCCGCGTTATTTCTTCGGGGACTTGGCTAGCATCATATCTGCAGATTTTTCTCTCTGTATGTGTCAAGCGCTTGTATGTATTGGGAAGTTGCAAACTTGTGCCTCAACTGGCATTCCAAGGCTTGTTTTTAAATCGATAATCCTAATAAATTTCAACACAAAAATTTAATCAATCAGTTTTATCGGAGCGAACAGCGGCTTATTAGCTCGTTTCGTGTTGTATTACATAAAATCGGGGTAGAGTTTGGATACTCGGTCGTATGCTGCATTTTTAATCTAGAACGCAACAAGAAAAAGTATATATAAAACTCTCGTAAAATAATAAAGAACAAGTCGAAGTATAAATATTCTTGTTATCAATTTTGCTCAGCGATTTTATATTGAAAAATAAAACGTGCATGTAATAAAATTACGTGCGTTATTTTAAAGAATAATATTGGTTCTAATTAATTCCGTAAAAAAAGCATACAATTTTATATTATCGGCCGTTAAAGTGCCCACATTAGAGTACTGGTAACTACCAGTAGAAGCACGCCATTAAATTATGATCGTGCGATTTCAGTTCCTTGCCCTTTTTACTCTTTTGCTTCGCGTTTCGCCTGACCGCCAATAAAGTGCTCAGCGAAAAACGTACCAACGACGATTTATTAATACGTCCTCGATCAATTAGTTACGAGTCCGATAAAGCGTGAAAAATACCTGCCGTGATGGTGCAGAAAGGAAAATTTCTTATACTGGTGCTCGTGGGGCACTGGTCGCTTTTTCTGCTTTTGTTGCACGATCATTATTTCCTCGGCGCTTTTTGCTGTGCGCGCGTTCATGTTCATTACACTTTGCGTTCCATTCTGCTTGCCCGTATTTATGCATACAACAATCACCCACCGGCCGGGTATTATTGTGCACAATTATCAAAGGCCGCACCCAACAACGCCGACGAATACTGTTTTTTAAAGGTGGAGGAGAGAAAAAAAAACATAAATCGCAGTTTTGCACGCGAATTCGTAAATGCTAGCGATACATTAATCGCGAAGGACGAGGCACGAATTGTATTTTTTTTGCACATCTGCGTGGAAAATTAACTTTTCAGTTCCTTTCTCTAACTGAGTGAACAAAAAGTGGTTGAAACTTTCAGAAACAAATATAGCATTCATGTAACTATTTATTTTATTCACGTGTTTTATTTTTGTGTTTTATTGGATGAGTGAAGTTTTCTTCTCTGTGCGAGACTGCGACTCTTTTCAGTTATTCATTTGCTCAATGGTAGCTTTGTGCTTTGGTGCTCACAGAGTGCTCATGTCGTGCAACGCGAAGGTATATCATGTTTGTTTATGAGCGTCTGTTTGTGCTCACAGCCGGCAGGTCCCAATTAAACGAAAAAAGTCGCCGAACGCGTCACGACAAGGACGCTCTTCCCGGAGCAGAGCTGAATTGCTGGCGGCGAACGCGCGCGCGTTCAGTCCAATCACGACGGTGTGGAGGCGCCGGGCGCTCATCTACTTTTTATCCTTTCTTTAATTATACATTGCCACTAAAAGAGGCGGTAGCCGCGGAACAAGAAAGGGAAAACTTGTGGCAAACGCAGTGTTTTTTTTAGGGTGTGACTTAACTCGCTATATATCTAATACAGGGTGTTACAATGTCTTAATACCTAATTTACATTAAATTAGTGGTAATTTTTATTTAAAACGCCCTGTGAAAGTTGAGTACATATAAAAAAAACTTGGAGCAAATAGGAAAACTTTTCATCGTCGCCTTCGTTCTATAAATGAAGACATTCCGCTCATTACTTATTAATTTTCACATGTTCTTTCTTTTACTTTGAACGCACAGGTAGAAAAAAGTTCTTTGAGAATTTCTGTGCAACGCCTGGAAAAATTCGTAATTAACAAAGATCTTCGTCGCAGGTTTCCTTCGAATTCTTGCTGCGTTGTAGGTACATTTGTTACATTTATATAAAAAAGTTTCGCCCTCATTTCCTATGATGACCATTCCGCTGTTAAATGTCTCAAAACGCGCGTGTTTATTTTGTCGTGGCACATAAATTTCCTGTTTTTTTTTTCGTTACTCTGTCAGGATTGTGTGTGTTTGTTCTACTGAAGTCTTGGGGTCCTGGTGTGTTCTTTGTTGTTGTTTTCGTGGAATATAAAAAACTGGTAGTGACGCCAGGTCCCTGATACTCATGAAAACTTCAGCACTGCGTTCGAGTGAGTGGAAGAAGTCGCCCGTCGATGTGCGCGTTATGAATTCATGAGACTTCTCGTAAATGCCCATGTAATATTAATATAATGCCGGTGGTTAGTTTATACGAGGAGATAGAATTTTCCATTGCACTGCAAATTTGTATCCAAGGTTTTCTACGCGCTCTGTCGACCAGCTGGAGCAGTTCCCGACGGTGTTCACATTCGCACATCCGTCCCAAGTGGGCGGCGGCGGCGGTGGCAAAGAAAGGCGACCTCCTGCGTGCCAAATGCGTTTACTCGTACATTTATTCGGCTTCGCTTCCGTGGTCGCTAAACGCAATTTGCGCGCTTGTCGTGACCGTCTTAATGGAACTCTTGTTACGTCTCGGTGCGTGCCTTGTGAATTCCTATATAGGGATACATGTGGGTGGTTGACGCAATCGCAAACTAGAGTCTTGGTTAGCTTCCATATCACGGTGTAACGTGGTGCGGACGAACTGTTAGACTTCAATTACACACTGCGTCGCGGCATGCGCGTATCCGTGAAATTTCCCATTGCGCTATTTGTTCTCATCCGCAGCAGCTACGATTTACAAAACTAACAATACCAGATGTTGGAAGCAACCAACGCGAAATAATTGCCAATTAATTGCACTGAACAAAGATTAATCTTAGTCTTCTTTTTCTAAAAAATAACAACTTCTATAATTAATTGAAACAATAGAGATTTAATAAAAACACGTTTATTTTATTCGTTTTAAGTTTTGTTTTTAAATGGAATAATATTTAATTATTTATAACAAGCGGTATGTGGGGCCTGGTACGTAGTGCTCTGGACCCAAGTTCGATGTTGGTTTCGCGAAAATGGCAACGACTATCGCACATTTAATTCCCGAAAGGTTCGCCTGCCGACGCGCCGTCCCCAATGTAGCGGTTCCGGCGCTTTGCTGCTGCCAGCCAACTGCGGGAACTGGGTTGAAGGCGAATATCCGCAACGATGGGAAATTACCTTTATGCGGTGTGGTCTATGGCGATTTTTATTGTAAACGTGGCGACGCGTGCCGCACCATTGTCGGGCCAAACAAGATTTTATTTTTTTCTTGTTAATAGGCATCCGGGTTAACGACAACCCACACTTCGCCAAACGACCAATGCCGGAAATTAGACGTCATAACAGTTTGTGTTTATTAATTAAAGCCCAATACCGTAAATGCTTGCTACGGTTAGTATTGAAACATGCTTTTCTGATTTTTATTTTTATTTTTTTATCCCTGGAGGGTAAATCTGAAACGTGGCTCAAGGTCTTATCTTATGAACGTCAAGTTAGGTTTGCTCTAAGCAGGCACCTGAAAATACACTAAAATATACCTTATAGTTTTGCATGAAGCGAAGAGAAGAGGAGAGGAGCGGAGAACCCTCTGAACTTTCATTTCAATCTGCATTTGCATCAACTTCCATTTCGGCGCGCACCTCACCGAGATTGTAACTACGGTCGGGAACGGTTTCCGCTTCAGATTTTCATTTTCCTCATTTCATACCAACCCATACTCTGTACCTATCTCATATAGCTATAGCCGCAATAATATGCACACGATCCTCTTCAACCGCTGCTGTCTCTCTAGTCTCCCTTAAACTCAAACAGTATGTAGTAGGCAGATGTTACTGTGTTGTCCTAATGTAAGTCGTCATGTGGCCATCGTACCCATTGCAGGATGACAGTTGCATCAAATTTACATATTCACATGTTTCGCGTTTTTGGCCGAACGCAAATATATATACGGAAGTCCACGCCGGTGAAATTCCGAATACACTTTCGAAATCCAAATATCGCCGGTATCTATTGCTGGATATGAAATACCGGATTTACATAATTTTATTCGTATGCGCGGCCATGCGTGGCCGCTCTTGGATTGCTTCTATTGAAGTTTCGCACAATTGTTGGGAATGTGTCGTCTTGGTATACGATACTCGCATTCAAAGTATTGGTTTCGTTTTTTTGTTTCGCTTACTTTTTGTGAGTTCTGATATATGGAGCAGTAGAACAATCGAGCGTATGGGGGCGTTGAATATTGCCGCATAAGTTATTGCCGTTGAAAGTGGCAAGGGTCGAAAATAAA